TCTGCTGAATGTATTGTGATAAAATATGATTGCACAAATTTAATTTCTGTATGTTGATTATATAGCAACTTTTCTGGACATGCTAATTCATCATTGTGCTAATTAGCAAACAAAACGATAATGCACTAAAATGCACTAAAAGTTCACTAAGTAGGTTTACAGTATAATTTATGTGTTGCATTTAGTGTAAATTGAAACTAATCATTATGGCAAGGAATCAATATATATAGCCAAAAAGGAATCACACAATATAATGAAAATAACGTCAACTAAATCAAATGACAAGTACAAAAAGTTATGCTTTATATAACATCCTTTATCAAGTTGCCTTAACATACCTTTTATCCCTTAGACAAGATTTGATTTAATACAGCTTCACATCATGAAAACATCATTATATCAAAAAAGTAGTTTGATAATCGCTAGAGTATAATCAGGTACACATGACCTATATCTGTAACGTGTAGGGAGGAAAGTAATTACTTCCTCATCGTTTGTATGATAATAGGCCATAGCCAATTCATTTTCCCTTTCAATCAGGAGATATCTCTGACCCTAATTCAAGTCCTAATCTTACACTGCCTGATGTTACACCCACACACACCACAGCAAGCCTGTCCAAGTAAAATAATCAATTTAACCTTACTGTTGATCAGTAATGAATTTTGATTTGTCATATTAAAACCAATTACAAAGATATGATAACATCCTGTTGCCTCCATGGACACAGAGAGTTTAACCTGTAGTCATGTGTCAATACCTGCCCAACTTTTATGAGGATTTTGTTACATTTATACAAGAAAAAATGATTGAGATATTGAATTTTTCTCTAAAGCTGACCAGGATAAAACTGGAGGCGATACATCTATTGTACAAATAATGTGAGTAATTGACCGAAAATGGTATAATTACAATCAGTAAGCACAGATCATTCCATATCTCAAATGTTTATTGATCTAACGTACAGTTTAACTCCTCTGCACTTAATATTTATGAATTTATTTTTCAAAGTAACAGACATGATATTGTCAATTTTTATCTCTTAAGAGTAATAGCAATGTATCATGTTTCAAAGGGAATTCTGTTTGTGAAAGAATTTTATATCATGAAAATAAAAATACCCCAAATGCGAAAATTTGTAAATTTCCAAATTAATGAATGTTACTGACTTAACATGAAATACAGCACTTTCAGTCCAAAGATAATCCAAAATTCTTAAAAGAAATTTGAAATATTCAAGATTCTGAACAAGTGATCACCTGAAATGGACAACAAAACTTCCATATGTTTCTGCCAGATATATTTATAGAGAAGCTAAGCTTGAAGTTACACTCACTACTATCCAGAAAAACAACATTCAAGTTCACACTTCAAACCATCTCAAATGATAGTGTTTTTATAATGTATCTTTGAAACTAAATTTATGATTATATTTCAACTTCTGTTTACATGGAACCCGTGACTGTCATAAGGGAATCCCTGTGATGTAATGTCACGAGTGACACTGCATAAATTATCTGAAGAGTACATTACATTTTTGCTTTTCTTGGAAACTGTTATTATTTCAACTTCTGTTTACATGGCACACGTGACTGTCATACGGGAATCCCTGCGATGTAATGTCACATGAGTGACACTGCATGAATTATCTTAAGAGTACATTACATTTCTGCTTTTCTTGGAATTTATGATTATTTCAACTTCTGTCTACATTGCACATATTATTGTCTGAAGGAGAATCCCTATGCTGTTCAATAACTACAGATATCTGTGGTGTAACTGGACATCTAAATGAAGCCAATGAAGGAGTGGCCAGATATCAAAGTGACAATACTTTTAGAGAATGCGTTTAGATGTAAAACATGAATATTCTGAATAATGCCCATGCATATTTCATCATCATATGGTACACTTCAGATCATAAGCCTTGTTCAGGTATCAATTTAGAATAAAATGTCATAGTTTATTTCTGTAATTTGCTTTTATTTATAGTTTTACTGAATTCATTAACTACCCATTGTAATATGAAATTACCTGGTAATACATGCATGTGTACAAAACATCATTTTTGTTTTTAAGCTACATGACAGTTAGACTACTTTGAACTTGAATGAGTGTTGCAATAAGTTCCACAGGTATTATAAGCTAAAATTCAATACATGTATTAGAACTTGTAAGAAGGATTTACTGCAATAAATTCATTCAAGCTGGTTTAGATGCCTTCATTCAATTGCATCTCTGAAAATTGACTAAAGGGAGGCAACTCTTTGTAGAAGCACATAAACAGGATTACATTTGTACATCTTCTATACATGGTTCACCAAAATATGGTCAATTTTCAACTTTTAAGTGGCACAAAATATCAAATAGTTTTTTTCTAAAAAATAATAATAAAAAAAAAACAACTTTTCTATCTAATCCACATGGAGGCAACAAAGCAATCAACTTCAAGTGACTTATTCTAAACTGACTTTTCCGTCAGATTCAATGGAGAAAAGAAGACCTGAAAAGTTATTCAGTAAAATTCTGAAATGTCGTTTTTCTAATCGATACTGAACAATTTATCAGAAGTCAATAAATTAATAAAACAACAACTTACTTATTTCCATGATTGTTGAATACCGGCAAGCGGGTGTGTGCTTGTCAATAGCAGCAGCTTAGCTGTACAGCATCTGGTGAGAAGGATAGTGTCTGGTCATCACTATAGAAAAAAAACATTAATTCAAAATAATGGTTCAAATCTAAAAGAGATGATGTTCAGACATTAAAAATGTTGAAAAGGGCAAGAATACTTCCAAAACAAATATTGTCAAAATGCAACAAGGAAAAACAGTAAGTACTATATATTTGTTTTGCTTACAAAGCATACTAATATTTATAAAGATAGAATGAGAAATGAGATGTCTACACAAGATTAAAATATGGATAAATGTTATAACAGTCAAGTTATAATGGGCAATGTTGATGATAATGATGAAAACAACTGGGGCATTATCTCTTCAAAAACAGCCAAAATCAAACTACCGTTCAGGAAATAATACTTCATGTCATGGTGATATAAGTTTAACAAGTATTTTACACCCTACACAAACATACATAAGTAATTGTCTGTTGTAAATCAGGCCATATGCATTGGAATAACACCTTCAATTCGACTCTCTGTAAATACCTGCTCTACAGCAAATTTCTCAAAATCAGCCAAAGTTCACTGCTGAACATAGTATGCTAGAGTACAGGACTCTCAGACCCAAGTAAATATTGTCACAGTACTGCGGTGAAATGGATCTTCCTTGCAGTACACCCTGCATTATGTTAAAGTTCCATTTAAGCAACTTGTCTTGTAAATATCGAGAAACCCAACAGCAGGTCAACCACAGCTTGATGCAAGCACAAGATCAATTGTTTGTCAGCCTATAGCTTAATGCATCTGTGAGCACATGGGTTTTTACAGTTTCTCTTACTGCTGTTCTTGTAGACCAATATAGTCTGTATTGGGTTATCTATAGCATAATTAACAGTACCAAGAATGTCTCACTGACAGATATGTTGATGCTGTTCCTACTTTGGCAGGAACATGCTCATTGACAATATGTTTGATAAAGTTGATATAGTTAAAACCCACTGATAACAATCTGACTACCATTCAGACATCCCAGGCATAGTTGTCAAGATTTTTCTCCAATTATCAGAACAGAAAAGACATTCTTCTTTCTCTTGAACAATTTAAGTCAACACCAAATATTGGTTTTGCCCCTAAAACCATTCAAACCATAGGTACTTAGCTTGCTGGGAAATAAAATGTTATGAACATACTATTTTTCCCCCATCAGTGAGCTATAAGTGCCTTTGTTCAAACCAGTTGCTATCATCACTAAACAATCTGATTAAAATACATATCTTAATTTACCACTCCAATACTTAATGAACTGAAAGTACTGAAGTGGTAAATTAAGATCTGTATTTTAATCAGATTGTATCACTACATTAACACAATAAAATTTTGTCCATTGAAATAAAAACCTATTCCACACCTCCTTTGAGGCTTATCTAAGATCTGACGAAAGACAGTTCTCCCTTGATTCAAAACATGTAAACATAACTGTCATTTAATTCGGTTAAAAAGAAGAACCTTCTCTATTGGACTTACTCCTATCAGTGATGTTATCTAAGAATGTTGAAGATGGCAAGAACCTTTACAAGCTACATGTATACAGAGGCTTAATAAAACACTCAGTTATTTAGATATGAAGTGTATAATTTAATTCATTTCAATACGATTTTTACAGAGAAAACTATTGATTCCTTATCTTAAGACAATTATCATTCTTTGTAAGATTTCGTTTAGAGGCCTTTCTACAATTTAAGCAGAAAAAAATGTATATCACAAACTGTCATATGAAAATTTGAAGAGGTCAAGACAATTTAAAATTCCAAAGGCCTTTGTCTATATTGGACTTTAAAATACTTCGTCTAACAATGTAAATATTAGTATATTGCATTGCCTACTACAAAGAAAAACCCCGTTTATACTTATATCACGTTAGAAATAGTTTGGAAATTAAAAAATATCTGTTCAACAATTCAATTTTACTTTCTCAATTGTTAAATGCTGTCAAGAGCAATACGTATTTACCGAATTAGTCTTGAGGACGAAACTGAGGGGAAAAATCGTCTGCTAGAGTAGTTATCCTCTATAGTAGTGTCATTAGCAGCTTTAAACTTCCAATGCAACCTGTCAGTTACAAAATCTATATATCATCAGGATATTGTAGTAAGGTTTAAATCCATGCCATTGTTAAACAGTGAAAATTATCATTATACTATCTAAATCGCCAACTGATCGTCATAGTACCTTCGTCTTCCCTCTCCGAACACCGGCTTTGTTCCGGTTAAAGGTATATGTAAAGAGCTGTTTGATTGGACAAGATGTTTATACAGAGGGAATATTGTCCAATCGAAAATAAGGTTATTTGGTAGCTACGTTCTGACTGAACAATCTGCTTCCGGAACTGCACAAGAACTGTTTACGCCGACAATAATTGGAATCAGTCGACATCTGTGTAAATTACTAACTTTTAAAATTCATTGAAGATGAAATCGTTTCTTGGGAACTTCATTTTATTCTTGTTACTCGTATTACCATCAACATTGCTTTTGTTAGGAAATGGTAAGTACTATATTGTTGATGACACTAACCGGCTAATGGTCTCTTACCTACGTGGCACCTGTTGATGCTTCTGAAATTGGGGAAATTGCTGTTACTGATAGATCTAAACTTTGAAATGACTGTATACTTTGTGAAATTAAGCAAAATGTTTCATATAATGACTTGACACTCATGGAATTTCGTTTAGAATGCTTCATTGACCGCCTTAAATAGTCACAGAAGTTGACATGTCAAGCTGATAATCCATATTGTGAAAATGCTGCAGTAGGCGTATGGACTCAATAGTTATGACATTTTCATTTCCTATCGATTTAAATTATTTCGATTATAATTCAACGACAATTAATTAAATGGTTTTAAAATCATTGATAATAACTGTATTAAATAACCCTTTTCCACCACACCCCTGCACACATTATTGATAGAGCTATGAAACCCCCAAGAAGAAATAATTGAATGATGGTCTAATGCTACTTTGAGAATGTCAAAACTTCAGTGAATGCATCTTCTCAAATCAGCTTAAACAATTCATGGGACCACCAAAGACAGATAAAAACAAGGGTTTTATTGAAAGAACACTAATATGACTTCAAAGTGGCTGAAATTCCAGGCAAACATTTAAAATTAACTCAAGAGACAGCTGCTTTGGTAAGGATATCTACTAGACTGAAGCTTTAGGGAATGATTTGTTAATTGTAAGAAAGAATTTGAATGGAGAGCTAGTGCAACTGCCTGCTGCATGTATATTCTCTTGCAAGTTTGAAACCATCTTGTGCTGATTTGTCACAAAACGAATGGTTTGACATTTGGCTATCTCTCCCTATGTATCTTATGTCTTTTTAGCAGTGTAAATACCATACTGTACAAGTAGACTCCAACTTGTGATTAACTAAAGCTTTGTTGACCTTTTTTTTCTAATCTGAGTAATAGACTTTTTTTTTCCAAGTTCTGTCAAATAAATCCAAGAGAATTGACTGTTAGTAATAGTAATAACATACCAAATTTCAAATCAGGTGATCATGATACATAGGTACTTGCATTGTTCTGGGCATTATAAAAGAGTTAACATCAACAGTTACAATTGAAAGAACTTGACAAAGTCTGCTCTATATCATGGGAATTGTAACTTGGTTTTACATGTCTTTCAAAATTACAGTTTTGTATATTTCCTGAAACAAAATCAGTTGAAAGTACAATTGTAGACAACGTTTTAAGAAGAAATATGGGCTAACTGTGCAAAGTTTTTGATAGGATTGAATTTTCTCTTTGCATATTGATTTCATTGTTTTGTAGCTATACATATATTTATTTATATACCATGTAATAGTGCCTTGATGATGAAGTTCTTTGTAATAATGTGTATTTAATCCATTTACTGCAGGAAATGCTGGAGGTCTAGTTGCATATGCTGACAACGATGATCATGGAGATGCAATGGAAGGAGAAGAAGATGATGACGCTAATGTGGAAACTGAGGATGCTGGAGAAGATGAAGGTGCAGCAGTTACAGAGACAGAAAAGACTGATGAAGAGGAGGAAGAAGAAGTAGAACAGCTGAAGCCTTCAGAGGATGCTGATGCTGTCATCTTGTTCACCAAACCAGTTGATTCCACAGGTAATGAGGCATCCTGTGTGATGTTACTCGTGGAAAAAACTTCACTAGTTTTTACAAGAAATGTGAAACTTGATATGATGATTTTTTTTCTCTCTTTACAGAGACAATGTCTTGAAAATCATTTTATACACTTAATGAAATTTTTTGATGACAAGTTAATATTTTAATGGTTCTATGCCAAGTGTCAAGGTAATGGGGTGACAAAAGAATGCCAATGATATAAACACTTTAAAACATTGAATTGATAAATTTGACATTATCACATGTAAAACCTTGTTCAGATATGTTTTCTTTGTATACAGTGTCAAGGTGAAACATATTATAAACTGCTCTTTTAATTCAGATCTTCCTGCTGGTCAGTTGGTGAGGTTTCTGGTTGGATTTACAAACACTGGAGAAAAAACCTTCACTGTGGAAACATTGGAAGCATCCTTCCGTTACCCACAAGATTACAGTTTTTACATCCAGAATGTGAGTGTTTTTATATTCATATTGTTCTATTTCTGCTAATCAAAGAGGTCCCAATTATTTTGGGCGTTTTTTAACCAATTGTATGAATTTGACCAGACCTTTGTTATTATGAAGTTAAGCATTGTTTTGAGGAAAATTGGGAAATGGTTGTATAAATGTTGCTAAGTAAAGAAACACTGTCCCATTTATCTGGTAAGTGAAAAACTGAATGACTAGGTTTCCAGGTAACTGTTTGGTTTAACTAGCAATTGGGCTTATAACCTCTAAATTTTACTTGACTGATTATCTCCTAAAATTATTCTTAAAATATTTTCAAAAGCTTTTTTTCAAGAAAATGAATTGTTTGGTATGAAATGAAAACAATTATCGTAACAAAAGACGGACAGGTTAATTACATCACTCAAATTAAACAAAAAGTACAAACAGCTTCTGACCACAGATGTTGTTTTTTAACATCATCAGCCTGTTATCCTGTGAATTTGCTGATGTATTATTTTTTAATAGTCAATAGTGTAATATACTTTTTTCATTGCCTGCTTCATTCTGAAACTGATTGTCTTAATTATATGAATATGATTTTACGTCATCAAAGAAGATTTTACAACAAAATGGCTACCTTATTTACTTACCTTCAGACAGTCTTCTATATCAATATTTTATATTACCTTATTCAGCCTTGAAATTAGAAACGGGAGTGATGATGCTGTACCTGTTAGAAGTTGAAATTATTTACTGTTTTGACTGTTGTTTTCTATGTTGAATAGTTCACTACTGCTACATACAATGCTGAGGTTGAAGGCAACAAGCAAGCTACCTTTGAGTATGGATTTACACCAAGTGAAACATTTGCATCTCGGCCATTTGGACTCACTATTCTCTTAAACTACAAAGATGATGTAAGTTATGTCTCTTGAACTACAAAGTTGATTTTATTTATTATGATATACAAAAAGAATTTTAAAAAGTTCATATTTTCTGGAACTATAAAGACAGTGAAAGATATAATTCTCTGGAAAAATCGCTTCATTCTTTGAGTGGTTTTCATCGAATTTCACTCCCTTAAAAGTAGCAAAATATATTTGGACAAGTGAAAATTTCAGACTTGTTGAACCAAATCATGTCACTTAATGATATTTTTGGAAAATAGCATTGTAGCAGTCTCATTCCCTGACAGATTTTCATAAATCTCCATGCATTTTAAAGCATTTAAACATCTTGAACAAAGGAGAGTTCCAGGGTTGTTGAGTCAAGGTTACTATTTAGAAAAATCATTGTTAGCAATCTAGCGGCTTCATTCCTTGCATGATTTTGACTAAACCTATCACACTTGAAATAGATCATAACATAATTATCACATATTGATGATGAAACTCTATTCTCAAATCATCATATATTTTATTTTCTTGTGTTCTTACATTAAACTTGATCATGAACTACATGCATACTTTTCTCAGTATTCAAATTAACACACAAACAGCACATTCTTTATAATTCATTAAGGGACCTACATTGTTTTGTAAATACCCAGTATGCTCTTACTTGTTTTGTTGGTATTGTACTTGGTCAAGGTCACTGCACTTATCATAGATGTCATGTGTTTGCCTGCACTCCAGCTTGTTTTCTTTATAAATTTGGATAAAACATGAGATGATAATGAAATTTGACCTTTGTTCATGTTTCATTTACAGGCTGGAACCCAATACCAACATGCAGTTTATAATGACACTGTAAACATTGTAGAACCTGATGAGGGTTTGGATGGAGAAACGTAAGTAGTTCTGCTTCTATACCTGCACTATTTATTAAAATACAGCTATCTTAACCATTTTTGTCTCGCCCATAACAAAAGTGAGACTTTGGTGAAATTTTTCCATCGGTTTGGGTGGCAGTGTCGATATTTCACTTTAGTTTTGCATTTAATCTGTTGCTCACAGCTGTCAACCACGCTTGGTCTATAACAGGAATATAAAGCAAACACCTCAACACATTCATCATTTACAAAATATCTTCCAGGTTTTTAAGATACAGCAACTGTGAAAAATTGGACATTTTATAAGTCTTACATTTTGCTCCATTTCTCATGAAGTACACTAATGATTCTATCATAGAATTGACATCTGAACCCAGCAGATTGATTAGATGAGTTTTATTTAATTGGTGTAGATTTGAGACAAAAAATTTAGATTTTAAGAAATGATTAACAAAGTTGTTTTAGCTCACCTGTTCCAAAGGACTTAGTGATCTATTAAGGTTCTCTTGACCCCACTACTTTCATCCTAAGCCAACATGATTAATTATAGAAAAATGTATCGACCTATAATGTGGTTGATTACCTTAAGGGTAGTGGCCTTACCTCTAATAGATGTGATACATTTACTTGAATGATTACCTTAAGTGCAGTGATTTTACCTATTAAAAAGTGTGAAAATTTTCCTAGTCTGAATGTTTTTGTTTGATCAGATTCTTCATGTACCTGTTTTTGGTTGCCATTGCCATCCTCCTCGTCGTTGTAGCCCAGCAGTTTTTAGGGTCAATTACAGTAAGTGGTATCCAAGGTCATATTTAAAGTGTTAATGCTATGTGTAAGTTAAATTTGGTAAATTCTGAATATAAGAAATGTAGTGTATGTTGCTGATGTAAAACTTTAAAATCTGTTTACAAAATTCAAATAGTTGTCAAGTCTTTGGAAAAAATGATGTAATGGAGAAAAAAAATATTGAATACCATGGTGTCCCACATTTGAGCTCAGATATTGATAAAATGATTGATGTAGACATAAAATATAGCAGAATTGTTTACTATATCAGTTAACTTGTTTGTCATGTTGCTTTTGATGCACGCTTAATTGTAATATTCTTGTGATTTACAGAAAAAGCGTCTGATAAAACCTCGACAACCAGTGGAGATGGGCACTCAGAACTCCGATATCGACTTCGATTGGATCCCAAAGGAAGCGCTTCAGATGAGTAAGTTTCTGTAAATTATTTAATGAAAAGAATTATCACTTTCATTCATGTCATGATTCCCTTTTGTTAAATTATATTGTGTTCATTTCAAGTTGTAACTGAAATTTGTTTTGTATTGTAAGGTTATTATGTGCCATATGTAATTCTGATAACTTATTAAGCTTTAGAAGTTGTATTATGGTAAGTTTTTTTTAAATATTGCAAGAAACATTAAATAATTTTCAAAACAGTATGTCAATGAATTGAAACTTTTCAAACATTGATCTTAATTATCATCTGGATTTCATGAGCCCACAAAATAAGTTTTTTTAAAATCTATGAAAATTGAACCCCATGAAGACCGGTAATTTTACATTATCATGTATTCTATGAATTATTAAGATGTTAATTTCTTTTCTAATGTTTCAGACACCTCTCCAAAGCGGTCCCCAAAGCAATCACCGAGACAGAGGAGGAGCAAGAGGACCGCAGGGTCCGGAGAAGAGTAATGGTAGAACTCCTCTGTCTCATAGAAGTCGCACTCCAACTTAGGTCGCTCATACCTGTTCAGCGAGAATACAACAGCTTCGTGGACTGTAAAGCAGTTATAAAATTATTCACAAGAAACCATGTCTATCTTTAGTTTGCCATCATGATCTAGGTCCTTAGTATTTTGTTTCAGTGATGAAAGGATGAATGTATAAGGAATGTGGTAATGATTTGGATACCTCATATATTTTCAAATTCACTTTGAGTTTGTGTGATAATATAAAGTATTGTGATGAAAAATTCCAAGTCCTCATTCCAAAATACTTGCATTTTTTTGTAATTGCTCAATGCAATGTAATGCTTAATTTTTTGTAGATCCATTGATTTCAACTTTAAAAGAAACTAGCTTTGAAATTGAAATGTTTTTGGAATAAATTCTAATTTCATTTATGATCTTTTATAATCAGTTTCAGTTAATGTGCATGAATTGGCTATTTGTTGGTATAGTTGTGAATCAGGAATACATACATTACACCAACATGGAATGAAATTAGATGCATGTTGCACATACTGTAGTTCTGGTAACACCTGCACATATTAAACTATGCAATGTGAACAGTACCAGTGTTGCAATTATTAAAGAAAAGATGTACTGAAGTGTGGTACAAGCTAGTTATTCTGATTATTGTTAAATCACGAAATCAATGGTTATGAATCAGCAGCATATTGAGAGAGAGTCAGTGAGAGTTTGTTGGTGGTAATGGGTTTATGCATGTGTATAAAAGCTGTAAAAATTGTGGTATCTGGGATAGAATATAAAAACTCTTGGGTTTGTGAAATTGTGTCTTGTCAATAATCATTACTTGTGATATATTTAAAAATGTGTGATGTACAGTATAGATTTATACTAAAAATTATTCATACACAGCTGCAATATTTTTGTCATGTATTTGGTGTGAAAAAGATTTAAAATTAATTAAACAATTTGTAGTGATTTTCCTCATTTCTTTCTTTAGATTATCAATATCAAGGCAATTAGAAGAGAAAAAAATGTATGATGTTACTATCAGCATGGACTTTAATTGATTTTAAATTTCATAAGTGCAAGAGTTAGGTTTCTTTAATAATTTTATTGACTTCTAGTCGATACTAAATATCAGGAATGAGCGGTCAGCTGTAGATGCCAAGTAGACTTAAAATATTAACTTGTAAGTCTTCAAGTATTTTGTATTTATTCCACAATTCTGGAAATAAAACATTTTTTTGTAAATTTCTCTTGTTGTGGTAATTAGTGCCAGCGTTTTCAATTGCATGTCAAGAGGTTGTTGAAATGCCAATTTTCCACTCAAGGTCCATGATTTTTAAGGGAGATTTTAACTTTGATTTAGTGATAATTTCCATTTCCCAAGTGAGGCATGGAAAATTGTGGTCACATTGAGTCTTGTAACAAAGATTTAGAAGATGCGAAATAAAAGAATCTGAAACAAGCATTCAAAATTTGTAATATGTTCTACCCTGTGATGTAAGTTTGCTTGTGTCAATTATAATATTTTAAGAGTCATTTCTCTTTAAGCTAGGAGAAAGAACCGAAGTCCTATTAATCTAATAACTTTCTTCAAGGAAGTTTGTTGAAATTGCTTTTTGTCCAAGGTCAGTCCTTTAACAGTCCTTGTTATTGCAATTTCCTATACTGGATTGATCATTCTTAAATTGCATGATTTTTCAGTATAGGAACTGACCAAAAAAGACTGACCGACAGGTGGTTATCTCAGATTTTGACAAAGATTGTTATTGCTATTTCTGAAGAAGTCTCATGTTGTTAATATTTGATTTGGGGATCTTAAATTTGAAAAAAATATAATCTAACTAATGGTCCCTCGGGGTATCTTTTAACAGTGACCTATTTGAATGATACTTTGTCTGTTTTAATGAAGTTGTCATGGCCCACGTTGAAGATCATGTAAGAAGGTGTGTTACCAACTTTGTGTAGGTAACATTTGTGCACTCATTTTTATTATTGTTCTCCTTTGAAGCAACATGACTTGGAAATTTCTGAAGGGTTAATATCCTTTCTTAATTTACATTTTGTTGCAGCTTTCTTAAAGCTTGATAGGTGGTTTTGTATTGCTTTACGTTATATCAACAGCTGTGCCTTATTGCCTTAAAGACCAAGCATTTTGTTTCAACAACTGTGTTAAAAAAAATGCCAAATGCCAGTCTTCTTCAACATTTAATCTAGTCAAATTTTCTATCATTCTCCTATGGTTTGCTCTTCCCAGTAAATTTTCTTGTAGACTAATCTGTACTGTCATGATTGTGTTTTCTGACACGAGACTTGCCCTGATTGCTTTAACAGGCCATCTGTTCAATGTTCATTCAATTAACCAACAGTTGGTACAAAAAACCAAATCTCAAATGACCTTACAATATTACCCTCTTGACATTTGGAAATATTCAGGCATTTGACTTTGATGACCTTGTGACAAGTTATTGCTCTCAGTGCTTTTCAGCATTCTTGTCTATTATCCTATTAAAGTTTTAAGATGAAAAAAACTTGTTTTACAAAGTATTAACACATTTTTATACAAGAATATGTACCACTTTGAAAAAGCTTCCATGATTATGCAGATTGTCACTTGGCACATTTATATTGTACAATGAATAGCAGGCTGAACATTCTCATCCCATACAAGTCTCATTTCAAGTCACATTTTTAACTTCTGATATAAAACAGACACTACTACAATCAGCTGGATATGTTTATTGATTATTTATATGTACTACAACAGAGGTGTTGTACAACTCCGTAAATTCTGTCTCTTTATCACTGGGTAGACATTTTCAATGGAATAGCTTGAAAACTTCATTAGAACTACTGTAGAACCTCAAGCATTTCATAAGAGACAACATGTAAACCTGATACAGCCGAGAATTACTTTAACAATTATAAACCTTCCTGATTCAGCTGTGAAAAGTTATGATCATTTCTATGTAAACCTTCCTGATACAGCTGAGAATTAATTACAATCATTTGAGTGCTGAGAATCTGATACAAGTATCCCTATACATTGTCAATCATTTCCATTTCTGCAAAACAATAGACGTGGAAATTTTGTACACCTTTCATATATTTGAAAGCAGATTGAATCTCATCCTTGGAACAATTGGACAACCAACAGGGGTAAATAACAACAAATAACTACAATCTACAGTAAATACTGTGTCAGACTATTTACAATATATATCAAATTTTGAGTCCCTTATTTTCAATGTCTGGGATTAATCTTACTGTAAGAGAAAATTCTTAAACTCAAATATTTGAACATGATTTTCATTTCCTACCAACCACCTCAATACCTTAGATTGATAAGTGATTTTGATTCCAATTGTAGGATGTCTAAAACCACTTTAAAACTGCTGTATGTTTTGGTCTAATGGCCATGAAGATTGTGGTAGAGCTAACACGGTGGGTAACTACAAATATATCTCCCAAATAATTTTAGGAGATGTGCTAGTTCAGGAATTCAACACTACTGTCAGGTACTTCAGACTACAGAGCACAATGTCACTAATAGCTATCTATCTCAATCTTATTTACAAGTTATATAATGTTTACCTGTAGTGTATGTTAACAGTGAAAACTAGAAAAGTAAAATATTGGCAGTAGAATCCACACTTGTGTAATACACTGGTGGACCAGGCAGATTCTAAATAAGATAAAACTGATTAAAAGTTTAAATGCTACTATAATATGTAGTGATAACAAACAATACTTCAATAATAACAAGTAAATATGATAATTAATATGATAATTATTAAATAAAACAAGGAACAAACCCACCACACTTCATTTTCCAGAATAAATAACGCCTGCTGTATTTATCACAAAAATTACAAATGGATGAAATAGAACCCAGCTTACTTGAGGTACAAGTCTGTATTGGATACATGTTCAGTGTAGGAAAGACCTACACTACACATGTATACAAACTAACAAATATTCATCTGTACATGAAAAACCAAAATCATGTTGTTTTTTTGTATTTTTGTTTTTTTTTTTTTTTTTTATTTCTTGTTTTGTTTTGTTTTTTGTTTTTTTACCAAATTTTACACAATATTGTTATTTGTAAAGTTCTTTATATAATTTAGCCAAGTTTGACTATAGATATCAGAACTGAACAAACAAATCATAAAATAAAGTTAATTCTAAAATACAAATAAACTAGTTACACATGCTTTGAAAGACCGGTAATATGGCAATATCTCTGGTAAAACACTATACATACGTCTACAAAAGTGAAGCCTTGTTAGTACTTGCATTTTTTAAAACATGAATTAAGAATCTTGAAGTTATGTTTTCTGGACATGCATATTGATGATCTCGGCAAATTCCAAGTAAATTTTCTAAACTAATGAAGTGCTAAATTTCCCATTTCATTTTTTGAGACTTGCAAAATATTAACAAGGTTACACATAAAAACAAATAACTAAAAATTAACATAATACAACATTTTTAAACACATACTTTGTCAATGGATTCGTTTTATGATTTTCATGATTTTTTCTTTTTCTTTAAATCTACTTTAATAAAATGCAACAAAGCGAACAATGCCACTTTCACTTGGAAGGTAAAAATAAACACAAGTTATGTACTGGATAATTACCACTTGTGTAAAACCAAATCTGACCTCATCAACACATCAAAACTGTTTCTGATGACCCCACAATACATCTTAAACTATCTTTCATGTTGATACAATACATTTAAATTATACTTTCTCCTTATAAAAAATTTGTGTTCACTGTTGACCCCATCACAATACATGTAGAACTATGCTTTCTGCAAGCCCCCACACGTACACCTAAAACCAAATTTCCCACAATGCATCTAATATTATGAGCTTCCTGTTGACACCCTCAAAACATGCATATCTTAAAAACAAAGCTTCCTTTTATGTTTCCTTTTGTCCCCACAAATATTTCCAAGAACATGACATTTTTGAACTGATAACTGATTTTTCATAGAATAACAGAAAAGTTACAAATAATGAAGGACATAGAGTTTATTTTAATATGTAGATTGAGATCAAATTAAGTTTTACTGCAGTGAATCTTATGGAAATAGCAAATGAATCGGAATAAATGCAGATACAGTAAAATATGGAGACTGGTAGGGCATCATGAGGAGCCACTGAGCACCATAATGAGTCGCATGTTAATAGTTTTGGAAGCCAGCAGCTTGTTACACTCGAGTGAGTTGTGTATTGGTAGACTGTTATATTCTGTTTCTGGATTGTCATTAGAAAACTCCTGACTGTATACAACTGGGTTTATCAGCATCTCGCCATATGGTCCCTTGAGAGCAATGAAGCTGACGTTGATTGGCTGGCTGGCCTTGCCCTTGAGGACCAGCTGATAAGACATGCTCCGTTCTGAGGTCAATGCTGGGTTCTTCTGGTCATTGTTGATGCGTGCCTTTATTACCCATTGGTGATTGAATGCTGAGAACCGACTGGTCTCATAGAACAACTTTGTTATGAAGTCATCTGTTCTGTATGGCTTCAATTGAAGATCTGTAAAGTAACAAACTACACCTTAAAATAAGTTTGCAATCAAGATAAATTTATCTGTAGCATCTGCTGTCAAAAATATAAGTACACTGCATTATTACATTTTGACTTTATCAAATGTAGAAAAGAAATTTTATTTATCATTTCCATCTGTTTAAGCTCACATGTTTTGTGTGGAATTCTAAATTTTTTCCTCAACCAACTAACCATAGTTTACTTGTGTATGATTTAAAAATTGATTCAACATATCTATTCTGTATGTTTTTGTGGCTTGTCCCCTTCTTTATTTTTAGTGTTATCTCCCAGCTGAGCTGGTAGGTACCTACCGTTGAAGGTGATTTTTTCACAAGAGAGGAGAGAGAAGATCCTGCTATACAACTGTGTTTCGTCCTTCAACTGCTGGTCCAGGCAGGCAACTGCCTCCATGATGTCGTCTCCTGATTTGTTGGGGTGCAGACAGCCCTTCTCATGCTCCTTCAGCTCATGGTAGGGGCCTTTCCAGGGACAACCGATGCGAGAGTATTTACATGTTGACAGCCTAGAAAATATGCAAATGAAAAATGTACCATCTTGTTACGTTTGTCACAACAGCTGGACCTGCAACGAAATGGGTTGTTTTTATTAGTGTACTTACCTTTGTATAATCCGTGAAGCTAAAAAAAGGAATACAGAATGATAATATCCGAACAGCTGCATGACCTTGGCACGGTGATTGGCACACACAGGCTGGTTTTAATAATCCTCTTCTTAGAAGTATGTTTTGTGTTTAGACACAGAGGTTATTCAGGTGGTGATATTGAACACCACATATTTCCCAGTACATGTATATCCTGTTCAAGGGAACCACGGGTGTTATAATTATTACTGACACAAAACAGTACTCCAGTAGTTGACAGTGCTATATGAAGGTACATCAGAAGCACTGCCTATCATTACACGTATCCATCTTAAAAGGCACCATATGTGGTGCCAGGATCAGATCCCCACTAGGACACACCAACACAAGGTTATCTCCACTAGTAGGGGTAACACAAGGTCACCTAGGTAAGTTATGTTGACAGTAACACGCCTAAAGATGATAGGCTAAACCTCAACTCCAGTTCCAAATTCTTGTACACACCAAATATGGTAACGAGTTAGTGTAATACATTTCACAATTGGTTTAGTTTTTGTGTATCCATTTGTTCATTCTCTCAGTAAAAAGAGCACACCATATAATCTATCATATCAAATCCACTTAATTTTGACCGAAAACCTTTAAAATTCAACATCGGAAAAAACACAACAACACAGACAATCAAATATAACTTTATTTGTATTTTTTTTCAAATCTCCAAGTATGTGAAACTTGTAGAACAAAGATGAAATTAAACACCAGGACCAGCATTATTAATGTATCTCCAAGTTAAACTAAAGGATGCTGTGCAGTCAAAATGTCAATATTTGATAAGGCCAAAACTTTTGACTGGTCTGAATACAAGTATGTACAATATATTATTCACCATTTTGGTTTGTGAGCTTAAACTCACCAATGTTATATCATTTATGTTACATACAATTATCAGAATTTCCAGTCCTTTTTTTAGATTTAGACACAAATGGCCAAACCAAATGGTTGAATTTGATAATCATCCATAAGCCCTCTCATTAACTTTGAACTCAACGATATAGGAAATATAGGAGAATCAAACTTGAACAGAAAACTGACACAAAAATATTGCATGCTACTTTTACTGCACCTTGAAAGATATGAACATACTTGCCGCCTTCTGAAACATGTTTGTTGATTCAAGTCACTGTGGTCAACTTCTGAAAAAGGCACTGACCCGCTGGTTGTAAAAGTGACCGTGATGACACAACTCCATCGGTCCTGATCAGGAACAAAAGACAAAAGTGTGTTTCTAATTATTAAAACATGTTAATCAACAACAAAGAAGAAAGCAGCTGGACAGCTGGGTTGCCCCGTCCCCTCCATACAGATGCTTTCTCCTTTGTGTCGGTCAATAGGTGAGTTAGAGAATAACGGTGTGTGTAGGTGTGTGTGGTAGAGATCTAACTAAGCCTTAATTACGAAGGGCTTACCCAGACCACCCGATGCCTACCTCTCCTGACACTGCTCCCGCTCATGGTAGTGAAGTAGATTACGAGGAAGCAAGCAGGCACAGAACTGACAGGTACTGGGCAGCTCTGACACTGCTTTCTCAACAGCCAGGTTCCGGGTACAAGAAGACTTGCTGATCTCACAGCGGCAGTTGGGACAAGTTGAAGTCTCGTCTTTCAGCCGTCCATCAGCAAGGAGATGGTTGAAACAACCAGCACACATTAGGTGCCCGTTAGTGCACTACAAAACAAATAATGCATCCTGGATACATTCATGGCTGAACAACATATTGTTACAAAATCATACCACCTTGTTTCCACCACTAATAGAGTGACTAAGATGGACAGTGCATATGGCCATCAGAAGGTCTCTGCAAGCTGTATATTGTTCTTTGCAAGTGGACCCTCAAAAATTTGATGCCTTTTTTAATAACTCATTGTTATCTAGTTACACAGTGTAAAAACTAAGGTAAAAATTAAACAATTTGTTGTACTAGCACCTATTTAAACAACTTTTTAAGTTTTCATAGTCAGGGCTTCACGATTGTCAAATACAGGAATGAGCAAGTCCCATGAATCCATCACTCCTTGACTAAATGTTGGTCCTTGTGTCATTCAAATCCTAATTTGTTTTTTGTAGAGATTTTGTTGGTGTCTCTAGCTGGTATGAGATGTCAATGAATTTACATGTCCGGCTGTACTTTTCAGGTGGATGAACTAACTTTTTAATCTAGTATGGTAGGGTAGGTCAAGTCGGACTTAGTTTTGTGAGTCAGTAACTCTGAAAATTGTGGACGAACTTGAAATTCTGTATCAAACTCATAGTCATATGGTAATATTTATACACGAGTAACCATCATGTAAATTCAATTCTACTTCTACCACAAATATACTGCACCTTGACACAGCTGGTGCAAAATTACCCAGCATAAGTTTTTTTTTTTTTTTTTAAATTGTACTGTATGTAGCCTGTCTGTTCTGTAACTTATTAAAAATAGGATAAAGGGTCTAAATACTAACGGCGATACTTATTGGCAGAGACGTTAGCGTGTTATACGTCGTTGTTACATGTACTGTTGTAATATGATCTTTTATTATCAAATGCCAAAAATAGACAGGATGCAATACCTTCTAAAGCCAATCAACTATTATTCATACCAAGTTTTGTGCGTATCGACTCTGGCAAGCCGCCAAGTATGTTAGCGGGTCTGTGTTATTGAATAGGTCAGCTGATCGTGTTCACGTGACACTGACATACGAATCTGTCAGCATATGTTATGATCTGTCAGTTTATGTAGGTCATGAATGCATACCAAAGGTCATCGACTAATTCAGTGCTGCTAAATAACACGATTTAACCACAGAAACATTGAAATTCAACAACTACACAACGCTGCATGTTCATTAAACTGAAGTCACATAAATTATAATCGTCTACCTATTATTGATGATGAATTCCCCAAATACGGCGAGATGCTTTTTCTAGTTTCAGCACTGAAAGGATAAACTACCTCAGCATTATATAGAAATACAGATAAGTAAGCAGGCAAGGTATCTTAGTGATTATTACCGTTGCAAAAGTCATTCATGCCCCATCCCATCACTTATTTGCAAATAACGCAATATCAGGAAAACGGGAGAAAAAATGATGGATAACTGTCAGTATCGCTACCTGGAAACATATTCGTGGCAAGTCCAGACAAACTGCGCAGCACAGGATTCCGCTCAGACGGTCTTCTAATCTTTGTTCTTTTTCAGTAGATGGAGTATCTAATTTTGCTTTCTTTTTCTCGGGCTCGAATTCCAGGTCCATATTTTCCTTATTTTCTACATTTTCTTGCAAGACAAGGTTCGATGGGCCAGGAATGTCAGCCATCTCGTTTGTTTACGTTCTGCATTTGTTGACGTTTTCGGCCTCACTCCACTTCGCCTTGACGTCACAATCATCCAATCAGAAGACAGTTGGTAAAAATAGACACCAATGATAGAACTAAACTCAAGTAAACGAAGGGACGTAACTCATATAGTTTACTTTGCCACGTCAATCTATATACTGATATAGCTATATGTCTTGTAGACGTTTTTAATTCCTCTTCCAAACGAAAAACATGGTTTAAAAACCAAAACCGAAAAGTAATGCCATTCAGTGCTTAACGGTCATATTATGTGGAATGATTGTTGGCTAACCATGAATTTTATAATAAAATTGAAGTGGAGATTGTAGTGCATTAATAGCCTGGTTAGCTTCACAGCAGAAAAAAAGTCTAATATACTGAGTTATATACTATGTGAATTGATCTGGGTCAGTCTATTAGAGACCCCTGACTTTGCAAAATGTGTTGGTATAATGCCATTCTGAATGGTTGCTTTAATTAAAATTGTCTTGCAAGATGTCCTGGTTTGCCCAGAGACGTGATATATACGTCTCTGGTTTGCCCAATATCTATCCAGTCTAAATAAACGTGATTAATGTTTTGAGATACAAATGCTATATATATATATATAGTCATACGGTATACATTATCAAAACGTGACATGACAACAAAATAAAAAGAGGTCCACATAATTAATTTGCCAATGACATGGACTTGCCTTTTTTCTGTACTGTTTATATTGTCATCTATCTATTTTGAGCGTTGGGCATTCAGGACACACAGGGTTATCAGTTCTGATATCGACAGTTATTTAAAGATTTAAAAGCAAGTTTTCAGAGTGATAGTTACATTATTAGCTATTTGTTTTAATAATTCTTTATAAAAAACTTTTGTTAAATTTGTATATAGACTTAAAGTAGAAACGATTGATTTTATACACCTGTAGCTTGAGACTGGAACCCTATCAAAACGATAGGGTAAGTATGCTATGGAAATGTTAAGAATTATTATTTGTAAATTGATTAATGATAAATCCTACTATTCATATTGTAAAATATGTGGTATTTCTGCTAAATTTTAAAAGTAAATTACGAGAATATCTATTTCATGGTCTGATTTCATGTCAATTGTGGGCATGTTCTATATGTACTTGTATGTTGTTAATCTGTTATTACAGGGTTTCTATTTTATTGACTTTACCTACAAATCTAATATATCTTGAAATGGATAAAGATTCTTGCTTGTTCTTGAAGTGTAGACCTGACCCAGCATTTTAATACTGCATGAAGATATCCTCATGCAATTTTAAAGTCATTTCTCTGAATCTTGGTGAGCTTTATGTCAAATACATGGAGTTGTCTTTTCCTTGATGACATTGTGATTTTTTAAACTTTAAAATCATAACACAAAATTGTGTTGTCATGAACAGCATTTTGATTCAACAATATTAAAGAGTTATTGCCCTTTGTTTTTTCAAGTATTTTAATTTCCTATCTCTTTAAAACAGATGCTTTATCATCAAAACAATCACCTCTGATTTCTCTCTGGGCATTTTGACTCAATATAACCATTGCTTTTCTTATTTGTATTAATTTCAACACATTAAGTCATAACTTTCTGTTACATGGGACAAGTGCATTTTGTTCCACTCTGTAGTACTTTTGTTTACAACAGGTTAAAGCAATAGTTTATTTAAATATTTCTCAAGCTTTCTATGTTACCCGAAAATTTTCAGCAAAGCATACAGTCTCCGCTTTGTCCATATGTTTGTCCTTTCGTGTCTAGAGCATAACTTTGCCAACCACTAAGAATCATTAAACTACGTGTGTACATTGGTCATAGTAAGGCGATGTGCAGTGTACCAAATTCAGGGCCAGTTGTCCCTCATTTACTATCTTTTAACTGTGCCCTTAGCCAAAATTTTGTGTCCACAGCATAACTTTGCAAGCATTTAAACTATGATAATGAAACTTGGTGTATATATTGGTCATATTAAAATGATATGCAGTGTACAAAATTAACGAGGTTTGAGAGTGTTAGAGGATTGGATTTACAGTGTACCAAATTTGGTACCTGAAACCCCTTAATTAACTTTGTGATCAGTAAAATTGTTTGCAGGGAGCATTTATAAGTTTCACTGATACTCTTGTCATTTAAATGATAGTAGTAACTTCAGTATTCAATCCAGATTAAGCTGAATAGCCATGGATATAGACAATATCTTAGTCTGTGGTTTTACATCGTTTGATAAGTTTGAGATCTCCATTTCTTAGTTCCAGGTGTAGATGGCCTGATGAGATAGTTTGGAGTCCAGCTAGTTATATAATGGACATCTGGCCTCACTTTAACGTCATCGGAAGATGATGATTGGGTTGGATATTTGATAGTATTAATATTGTATCTAGCAATCGTTTGTGTTGTGTCCCTGGGCATATACTTTACCCCTAATGCTCTGGATACAATGGGTTTCTTGTATATAGACTGTGACTCAAAATGACCCTGGCTGCATTCACAGGGTGATAAAAAAGTTCTTATTATATATTGTGTTTTATATAAGTTATCAGACTTGCACAAGCACCTGTGCTGTGACATGTTGTGTTTAATATGACATATGTTATCAGATTTCAAGTATTTAGGATAGTTATCTTTTATCTTAACTTTCAGACTTCCACAAGCCCCTGTGATATTTCTGACATTCACAAGCCCCTGTGATATTTCTGACATTCACAAGCCCCTGTGATATTTCTGACATTCACAAGCCCCTGTGATATTTCTGACATTCACAAGCCCCTGTGATATTTCTGACATTCACAAGCCCCTGTGATATTTCTGACATTCACAAGCCCCTGTGATATTTCTGACATTCACAAGCCCCTGTGATATTTCTGACATTCACAAGCCCCTGAGATATTCAGGCTTTTGAGTGGGCCAAAGTGGAAAAAGCTGAAAAGATTTACTTGCAGTTAAAAAGCATGTCGAAGGTACTGATATCTTGGCCAAAACACTCTAATTTAACTCTATCTATGATAGAACGCCATGGATATTTTATACCGTCATCAATACATTTTGTTCCTCTGTTCGCAATATCATTCCTCCATGTAGCCATTTTGGATGTAAAATGAATTTCAAGCACAAATATTTCATGAATTCTCATTGGTTCTCTTCAGTCTAACCACCAATCATTATTCAGTTAACATCCTTGTTGTCTAATATTGAAAGACGGTTTCAAATCCGGATTTTCGTACACTATAAAAAGTAATGCGGAAATGACACAACATCGAAAATTCTGGTACCATGGAAACACTAGCAAAATGCAGAATCAGAGCCTTTGAAACTCGGAAAACTCACATGCCTGGATATTTCTGATATTCACAAGCCCATGTGATATATCTGACATTCACAAGCCCTCGTGATATAATGGTACTTTCTCTGATGCAAGCTTTCAGACATTTACAAGCCCCTGGGATATAATGTTACTTTCTCGGATGTAAGCTTTTACAAGCCCCGGCGATATAATGGTAATTTCTCTGATGTTAGCTTTCAGACATTTACAAGCCCCTGCGATATAATGGTACTTTCTGTGATGTAAGCTTTCAGACATTTACAAGCCCCTGCGATATAAAGGTATTTTCTCTGATGTAAGCTTTCAGACATTTTCAAGCCCCTGCGATATAATGGTACTTTCTCTGATGTAAGCTTTCAGACATTTACAAGCCCCTGCGATATAATGGTATTTTCTCTGATGTAAGCTTTCAGACATTTTCAAGCCCCTGCGATATAATGGTATTTTCTCTGATGTAAGCTTTCAGACATTTACAAGCCCCTGCGATATAATGGTACTCTCTCTGATGTAAGCTTTCAGACATTTTCAAGCCCCTGCGATATAATGGTACTTTCTCTGATGTAAGCTTTCAGACATTTACAAGCCCCTGCGATATAATGGTATTTTCTCTGATGTAAGCTTTCAGACATTTACAAGCCCCTGCGATATAATGGTACTTTCTCTGATGTAAGCTTTCAGACATTTACAAGCCCCTGCGATATAATGGTATTTTCTCTGATGTAAGCTTTAGACATTTACAAGCCCCTGCGATATAATGGTATTTTCTCTGATGTAAGCTTTCAGACATTTTCAAGCCTCTGTGATATAATGGTTCTCTCTCTGATGTAAGCTTTCAGACATTTACAAGCCCCTGCGATATAATGGTATTTTCTCTGATGTAAGCTTTAGACATTTACAAGCCCCTGCGATATAATGGTATTTTCTCTGATGTAAGCTTTCAGACATTTTCAAGCCTCTGTGATATAATGGTTCTCTCTCTGATGTAAGCTTTCAGACATTTTCAGGCCTCTGTGATATAATGGTTCTCTCTCTGATGTAAGCTTTCAGATATTTACAAGACTAGTCCTTGTAATATATTGTACGATCAAAGATAATTGTCACAGAGAATTTAGTCAACTGAAGGTATACAAATGTAATAACCTAGGGGTCTGTAACAATATTTCCAGGAGGCTGAGGGCTTGTATGGTATGCAATAACCATTGTTACAGGCCCCTGTGGTAATATACAATATAACACAGTCCCTCCTATACAGAATATCGTAATGTACTTGGTACAACACAAGAAAGTTGAAAACATTTTTACATATAACACACATATTATCTCTTAAAACATTCAATCAGGATTATGGTCTACCACACTGAAACATCCTTAATACTGACATCACATATGCTACCTTATAAAATAAGCAAAATCAGATTTGACACACTAACTATCCAGAAGTGTCAGAGCATAAGGCTTTGTTCAAATTCCTCAAGAAATGAAGACATTGATAAGGATTTTTTAAAATTAGTTATGGTAAAGTTGAAATCAAATTTGTCCTGAGATTGTTTGCAGTCTGATAAAAATCTCTTATGGAATAAAGGTTCTAAGACCAAGTGAGCTAATGAAATGGAGGGGTATAACAAAACACTCATCTGGTACATGCAGGGGTATAACCCGACCCACAGCCCTATAAAAAAAAAGAGGGGCATTACCCAACCCTCATTCAAATATATTAAAGGGATATAACCCAACCCTCACCCCTGTAACATGGAGGTGCAAAACCCAACTTTCAATCCCATAAAATCAAGTGATATGACATCATGATAATAATTCATAAGTCCTCTTCAGTATGTTAATAAGATTAACCTTGGAAATATATAGAGTGTGACCTAGGTGAAGATCATGTTTATTCAGTTTTTCCATTATCACAGATTACGTCACCATAACTCGCATATGCTGTGTGTTCGGTGCTGTTAAAGAACACTGCACATATATCTATGAAGAAAACATCTGTAATTGCTGATAACACATGACAATATCATAGCTGGTTTTCAAAATTGTATTTTTTCACTAAAGAGCCAATTTAAACATTGTATTACCTACAATTAGAAAATAGTGAAGGAAGTCTACTTTTGGAATGTCCAACAATGTCCCGTCAGAACCAAAGAGAATGCCAGCTGCTGCATACACAAAACATGCTCCAAACCCAAACCAGTTTTTGTTCAACGTACACAGGGTGGCCATGGTGAGGATAGAAAATCCAGAAACAGCTTGTGAGCAAAGTTCTCGGTTCTTGGGAGGAAGGAAACTGACCACTAGCAGGATACACACAACAAATATGGAAATCTTATTGGCGAGTGCTGATGATCCATATCGATTACAAAACATGAGTGCGATCATGGGGACGCCCACAGCACCAGCAGACCAGGACAATAATTTGTGAGCCTTATAAATTAGCGTTCCTTGTGGTTCTTCCATAGCAAAACGAAAAATCCCCATTGACGCTGCACAAGCTTGTATGAACATACCAAATGCTGCATAGTTGTAGTTACGTCCGTACCAGTAGTGTGATACATAGAAGGCTGATATAGCCAGCATCAAATCAGACAGTGAGGTACTTAACTGCCGAGGCATGTTCTATCTAAACCGTGATCTGAAAACCCAAACAGTATACAATTAAAACAAGTTTGTAGAAGAAAATAGATGCAATACCCTAATTTTTTTTTTTTTTTCATTACCAAAATCATTTTGTATATTTTATGTACCAGGTATTCATAAATAATTTATCAGTGAAATCTTTCTGTAAGAGCTAGTGCTATAGAAGATCTGATATTATCATATATCTTCATAAATAAAAAAAATAATAACAAATGACAAGTAGCACAATAACTTGTTGTGTACTTGATTGTTCACAAAAGCAACTATGTCCCAGTAAAAAATGTAAATATTATCAAGATGGCAACTACATGCTCCTTGCAATTTTTTGAGGAGCATAATAACAACATAAAGAATGTGAATATTAACATTAAAGTATCATTTAAAGATTTTCAGTCTAAAAGCACTAGCAAAGGACAATGGTTGATGCATGGATTTACCATACATTTCTTCTATGACTGTCATATATTAATAAAATGATAATGATAAATGCAGTGCAGAGGGCAGGTGAATGAGAAAGTCTAACAAGTTCTCTGAATACTGCTTAGTCCATAATGTTCTGACTATTTATCCGCGGTTTTATTTTTGCATTGGACAAAGGACCTGTCTGCATCTAAAATAAAAGTCCAGTGAGCAGGTGATTAGAATAACCCTAGCTACCTAGCAAGCCCTCAAAACACTGCTGTACAATTTTGACAAAAGGCAACATTTTAAGATAATATTTATAAATTAATGTACAGATCACAGACTGAGAGTTGCCTTGAGAGCTGGTAAGTGGGACAATTCCTTTCTAACAACCCCTCTCGTTACACTGCTATACTATAAAGCTGACGATAGACATGCAATCGAAAGACGTACAATAAATTCTATAACATTAAACAATGATAAAAGATGATACGATACATGTAAGCGTTGCTGGAGTCTGAGTAAAACGGAAGTAAATTTCCTACTTTCATTTTCCATGTCATCAACATTTCAGAAGTTTTATTTTACAATCGATGGAACTGATTATAACCATAGTGACAATACACTATCTTCTCATTAAAAATTCACACAGTTAGAAATCAATAACCACTAGTAAAACCCTACCGTGTTACTGTCATTTGGCGACATCCACACTGTCAGTTATTGTACATAATTCTGTTTTGTACAACATTACAGTTATAGGCTTTCCTATTCCCTTCAAAAACGAACTTTCTTTTCTAATGATACAGAGGGCAATAGTCGGTTGCCATACTTACCCCTGCTCAGCCTAGAGCGACACTTGCAACAGCCCTTGTCCTCTGCCCTCCTCAATGGACGACGCGTCTAACATCACACAAACTACAGTAGTACTACACGCTCGTAGTGATGTCAAAAAGGTCAAAGTGGAAACTTTTACTGGCAAGGGTTCTACGCGTAGCAGGGAGATAAATGAACGCTGTTTTTTTTGTTTTTTTGTTTTTTTTTCATTATCATTAATTATTATCATTATTTTCACAAATCAGTTTGATAATACACACTAGAAGTTAATTAAGATCCCTGACAAATCCTAAATTAGTATTGAATATTCACTTCTATTCAATTGGGAGTGTTTTTCAAGGTCTTTTGCTTATTGATTTTATTTTTACCTTATCATTTTTTTAATAAATAAGAGGGCAGAAAGTGATCTTTGATATTGTTTGCTTTGAAACGTTTTTAAAACAAGTTAATCCTAGCACAAGCATTAATTGAATAATGATGTCTGATATACATTACCAAGATAATGATAATTTTGTGAACCAATCACTTGTATTATTGTTGATGTCATCGAAAATAGAGTATATGATACTGGTAAAAAAAAGGTTAATCCAGTAAAATCACTCATTTGATTAATGACATCAATTAAACAGATTTTAAACCGCAGGCGATGTCATAAATTTGTATCAGTGATATACATGTAACTGAATATAGTCTGTGTCCATATCAGGGCCAAATGATCTATGGATGTTACTTATCAATATCATTGATTAATTTAGTGATATCATTAATTTGAATAAACAGTGTGAAAAAAGACAAACTCACAAATTAGAAGAAAATAAAAACAAAAACAAATAAAAAAAAACTTAAATAAAACAAACAAGGGATAAAAAACACTTTTAATAAACGATAAGATATTTTCGTTTGATTTTGCTGTAGATGTCCTTTTCCAATGATATAGATAGGCAGGTTTTACTTCAAAACCCCCCACTGATTTGTGTAATTAGCTTTTTATTAGTTGATTTGGTGAAGGGTGCAACACTGAGGTGAATTGCTTGTGTACCTGATGGTTATTTTAGACTTTCTCTGTTATAAACATGTTATAGGGCCAAAATGCTCCTTATGTGTTGGTATGGTCCAACTTTAAAAGATAATTGACTACACTGAATGGTCTAGAAGCATTTTTTTATTTTCTATAATTTGTATTATAGCCCTTGATATCACAATCCTGCTTGATTTCTTAATCATAACTGATAAAGGTAAATTGATTGATGTATGGTATAATCATCAAAGTTTAATGGCAAAAGAATAAATTTGGCTTGGGGGTTCACACGTATCTATAAATGGCTTAGCCACTGTCACAAGCTCCATCATAACTGCGAGGGCCACATTGTAGGGGATTCTGATCATGGCTTTCATGACCAAATTTTTTCCTCAGAATTATGACAATGGGTACTTTCATTATGCCTAGTGCATGTTAATTCATTTAAAGTTCGCAATGAGAAATGTACAGATGTTGAGAATGATTGATTCCATGACAAGACTAATTTTTCTATTTCGATGTCCATATTGGATGCCTTCCAAGTGTCATACCAAGTGTTTTCTGGCATTTCATATTTTTTGCATGGGGATGTGTTGACCAGTTTAAAGAAAACCTGATCCACAAATCCTTTATGACTCTTTCATGATGTTGCTGGCATAGGCATTGATATCTCAGAAGTAATGTTCGAACCTTTTGTGTTTGGAGTGTCCTTTCAGTAGAGGTGATGAAAGATAAACAAGATATAAAATTAGTTTAGTTGTAGTGTCAGTTATTCTTATGGTTTACACAATGTCATATTAGTATACACTTTATTCAGTGCTGCATATGATAACCTTTTATTCACTCCATTCTCTGTTCAAGTTTGTCAAGATTTATTCAATGTTGTGTACATTAGTATTCATTTTTATTCAATTATGTTTACATTAGCATGGAGATTTACTTAATGCTGTGTTCTTTAGTGCACTTCTATTCAACGCTATGTTTTATTTAATGCTGTCAAAGTTAGCCTATTTTAATTCCTTACATGTTTGTGAGCATAGTCATGGTTTTATTTAATGTTTTATTCAATGCTGTGGACAGAAGCTTTCAGTTTTATTCAATGCTGTGGACAGAAGCTTTCAGTTTTATTCAATGCTGTGGACAGAAGCTTTCAGTTTTATTCAATGCTATGAACATTGGCATGGTTGCATTAGGTACTTTGTACATTTGATTTTACAATTCTGTGAACACAATTTTATTCAAAGCCCTGTGTTAGTGTACAATTTTATTCAATGCTGTGATTGTTAAACATACATATTTATTCAATGCTGCGAATGATAGCGTAGTTATATTCAATGTTGTGTGTGTTAATGTTGTTTTATTCAATGCTGTGAACATTGAAGCAGTTGTATTCAATGTTGTGAACATTGAAGCAGTTATATTCAATGCATTCAATGCTGTGAACATTGAAGCAGTTATATTCAATGCTGTGAACATTGAAGCAGTTATATTCAATGCTGTGAATGTAAGCATATTTTATTTAATGCTGTGCTTGTTAGCGTAACAATAAATGGAGTTATTTAGAATACTGAACACATTTACAAGCATCAATTAAATTCTTTCTGACATTATCCACTCTACCGATCAGATATCAATTGTGATGTCATGATAAGTACTATGTTGTTATGTCATGAATTGATGTGATATTATAATTCCAACACAATGGTTACATCATGAATTGAAAATAGTGCAACAAAATGGCTGCCTCTGTTTGATTTTGTCCCCCTGTTTTGACTTTAACACCTGTCGAAATGTATTTTTTCACCAAAACTTGTAAGACTTGTTTAATGAATATCCATATCTCAAAGCTGGAATACAAACAGTGTGGAATCATCACAATTTAACAAAAACAATAAGATATCATTTTATCAATATTTTATTTCAACAATTTACACTCAACATAAACTTACATTCTCACAAATTTTCATTGATCACACAAAATTCAGCATTTCTATATAAAAAATTCCTTCAATGCTGTGTTTGTTGTCATAGCATATGCTACATAGTATAAATATATCTTAATATTTTAAGTTTTGAAGGTTTGTGAACATAGAAGATCTAAGTAACACTGAACTTGTCCATCACTATAAAGTTACAGCGAGTCATACACTACAACACCACTATAAAGTTACAGCGAGTCATACACTACAACACCACTATAAAGTTACAGCGAGTCATACACTACAACATCACTATAAAGTTACAGCGAGTCATACACTACAACACCACTATAAAGTTACAGCGAGTCATACACCACAACACCACTATAAAGTTACAGCGAGTCATACACCACAACACCACTATAAAGTTACAGCGAGTCATACACTACAACACCACTATAAAGTTACAGCGAGTCATACACTACAACATCACTATAAAGTTACAGCGAGTCATACACTACAACACCACTATAAAGTTACAGCGAGTCATACACTACAACACCACTATAAAGTTACAGCGAGTCATACACTACAACACCTGTTCTATTCTGTCAGCCTAACAACTGTCACGACTTTGAAGAAATTAACGAAAGAATCAGTGATTAAATGAAAACAGATAAAATTGAGAGCTAGAATTCAATACAAAGATGATTAAAATCCCATATTTAGAGAGACCAAAATAAAACAATCTGAAAGAACAACAAATTTTTGCTACATTAAAATATACCACTTTATAGCTGTATACTTAGTGTATGACACAATATCTGAGAGCAATTTATATACCCACTTACCATAATTACGGAAGGTTGCTCATAAACTATGATTTTGTGCTACAGTGTTTTAATTTCCTGACCTGAGAATTAAAGTTTTAGCACTATTGTAGGGTCATCATATGAAACTCCATCACCTTCCTGAAATTAATCTGTATTGTGATATTTGGGTCTTTATTTATTACAGAGAAGTAATTTAGAAATAGCTCTACAAAAAACACAGACTGATAAGCTTCGTTAAGGAACAGCAATGTTAAAGTTCTGTTACATAATCTGATCTGTTTGTGTTGTAAGTCACACAATTCTTTTTGTCATCAATCAATTTAAAATGCAGGTTGACAGTCACATTTCAGTAAGATATATTTCATTTCTTTGATATATACGCTATAATACACATGAAATATCATTTTCGTGATGAGAGATCCAATGATGTGTTGCATCATAACAGATATTTCACATTGACTGACTAATCATCAGTACAGACAGCAGTAGAGTTACTTTGCCTTCTCCCTTACACAGAATTCACGTCCATTATCCACAGATTAGCTGTTTGACTATCATAACAGATTTTATCTATTTATCTTTCTCAAATTTTATTGATGGAGATGAAAACTGGAAAATTTCATCATCAAAATACTCCTCCTCCACCTGCTCTGATGTATCCTCACTAAAGAATGTGGGCATAGGTGGTCCATCTACATTGTCTCTTCTCTTAAACATTAGGGCTGTGTCGTAGATCCTAGTGTAGCAGTGGACAGGGCCTGGAAGATGTCCCTTAAGGTACAGGACATTGTATTTAGTGTTGATCCTGAGTATCTGTAATATAGAGTGATGAGGATGACAGCTACAATAACAACAAAAATATAACTGATGTTGAAAAAGAGACAAAGGGCTCTATATAGTCACCTGAATGAACTCACAAACAGAAAAAATTGGAATGAATTTGTAGCATAGAGAAGAGAAAATAAGAATTCTATTTTTTCAGCTTTACTAAAGTTGTAACTCATTATTGCTTAGCATTCATGACATAATGGTGTCTTATTAAACTATTGTAAACTTTATACCCTCCCCAAGGGGAAATCTGAGACCATGGGGTCATGAAATTTACAATTTCAAAATTACAAAATTCCAGGAATGAAGATTTTTAATTCTACCATATTAAGATAGTGAAAAGAAGATGAACAAGGATCAACATGTACATATCATCAAAAAACATCAAAAGTGTAATTTTCCTACATCAACAATAGTAAAAGTTGTCCCCTCCCCATGGTAAATGTGAGACCTTAGAGTCCAGTGTAAATTATTCTGACATCTTATTGATTCTTTTATATTGTATGGAGTCAATCCCTGCTATATATCAGCGTCATTGGATACCCTGATATATACCTGTGTTTACTGTAAATGACATCCTGGATACCCTGATATATACCAGTGTTTACAGTTAATGACATCCTGGATACCCTGATATATACCAGTGTTTACTATTAATGACACCCTGGATACCCTAATATATACCAGTGTTTACTGTTAATGACACCCTGGATACCCTAATATATACCAGTGTTTACTGTAAATGACATCCTGGATATCCTGCTATATACCAGTGTTTACTGTAAATGACATCCTGGATACCCTGATATATACCAGTGTTTACTGTTAATGACACCCTGGATACCCTGATATATATGTACATCCTGGATACCCTGATATATACCAGTGTTTACTGTAAATGACATCCTGGATACCCTGATATATACCAGTGTTTACTGTAAATGACATCCTGGATACCCTGATATATACCAGTGTTTACTGTTAATGACACCCTGGATACCCTAATATATACCAGTGTTTACTGTTAATGACACCCTGGATACCCTAATATATACCAGTGTTTACTGTAAATGACATCCTGGATATCCTGATATATACCAGTGTTTACTGTAAATGACATCCTGGATATCCTGATATATACCAGTGTTTACTGTAAATGACATCCTGGATATCCTGATATATACCAGTGTTTACTGTAAATGACATCCTGGACATCCTGGATACCCTGATATATACCAGTGTTTACGGTAAATGACATCCTGGATACCCTGATATATACCAGTGTTTACTGTTAATGACACCCTGGATACCCTATATATACCAGTGTTTACTGTAAATAATGACACTGTAAATGACATCCTGGATACCCTGATATATACCAGTGTTTACTGTAAATGACATCCTGGATACCCTGATATATACCAGTGTTTACTGTAAATGACATCCTGGATACCCTGATATATACCAGTGTTTACTGTAAATGACATCCTGGATACCCTGCCATATACCAGTGTTTACTGTAAATGACTTACTTTTATCCCTTTCTGTATATTCCAGTCCATTCCCATGTGTCCCGGCATTTTCTTCCCTGGCATGACTCGTGAATGTCCCTTCATAAATAAATATGTAGTCAGCACTGCTATATAGTCCAAGATTCATTCACATAATGTGGATAACAATGCAGAAACATATACATCTTACATAGATGAAAAATTAAGAAATAAATTCCAGATATGAATGATTTTAAATAAGACAATATTCATTCCTTTATTTATAAACTGCCATTATGTAAAACAGGCACTGTCACTACAATACATCTGTTTTGAAGCTTGATCTTTGTTGCTCGACACTTATCCTTATTTGTGATCCTCGATTTGACTCACTTGTTGTCCAATAGCTCCTGTACGTCGCATAGCTTTTGTGTTGCCATGAGATTTCCTACCTCCTGTGAACTTCCATCTTTTAACAACACCTTGGAAACCATGACCAATTCTGAAAGTAAAATTTTAAGCATGTAAAGACTGATGTTGTGTTTTTTTGTTTTTGAATTTCAGATATCATTTACCTTATTATCTCCCCTTACCGCCCTCCCTATATCACATCCCTTCAAAGAAATATTGATAATAGAGATACTTACGTCTTAGCTTGTACATCCACAAAGTCTCCAACACGAAAGTGCATGACAGACAATGGAGTACCTGAAAAAACATGTGATTTTATTTTAGAATATAGACAATGGGGTATCTGGAAACACAAGTAATTTGTGTTTGAATATAAACAATTGGGTACCTGGAAACACAAGTAATTTGTGTTAGAATATAGACAATTGGGTACCTGGAAACACAAGTGCAAGTGCTTTATGTCAGGATATATGTGTTAGCGCCATCATCCACTCAATCAATATGGTGGAATTTGACTGACATTTGACTTAATACTTAATATCCTGTATATCCAATGATAATTCTTGGGCCACTTTAAGATTTAAGAAATAAGTGGACTTGCCTGGCTGTATGGCTGCATTTGGTGTGACTAAAAACCTTGTTAGTTTTCTCTTTGGTGGTACGCCTGCCTCCAGAAATAAGTTGTTGTATTCTTTTCTAAACTGTAATAGGATAGTATCACATCTGATGAAACATTTCCTGTTGACAGTCATACAATAAACACAGTAAATGCTTTAGGAGAGCTGACATGACAATATACATATAGTATTACAATAAATATGAAATACATAAGAAGTGTTTGTCAATAACAAAATACATGACAAATCTATGATGTCTTAAAAGAAGCAAGTTTTGAGGCAAAATTAAATATAATTCTTAAATCTTACTAAATATTAAAATTAAAATTCCTCTCGAGCATCCATGAAAATATAAAACCAAAACATTCAATATTTGTGGTGATTGTAAAATCCCAACAAAACACTGATACAATATCAACATTCAAGAAACATGACAAAGTAATGCCTTTCAACACTTGAAAATCATTTGACATTAAAAGCCTACCCAAAGTTTAAAATGCATGTATCCAACTAATGAGGTTTTGGTTTTGTTTTACCAGAAATAATTTCACCTGTAGACTATGGGAGGGACAGTTAAATCCCACAGGAACACTGATTCTAAATATCAGTACCACAGCATAGAATAATTCTAAAGTAATATACTGATTCTCTCAACACTTGTACAACAATTTTAACATCTGAAAGCTCTGTTTTTGTCCTTGTCTGATTTATATACTGTCAAATTTAGATGCGCAATTCCTGTGGTGACGGAGAAGTAACAACAGTTACTGTCCAGGATAAGGGGATTCATTACATCTTTCTAAACACTTACCTGCTGTGGGTATGAACTCAGAGCTCCGACAACAACAGAACCAAATTTTCTCCAGTATGGAGTACAACCTATAGATGTACTGAACTTTTCTGGTGGTATATATCGTATCACATGGTTGTCAATTATCTATAAAGGAAACATTGTAATCATCATTAAATCTGTGTCTTACTATAATATCTACTCCAAGAATGTATTGTTGAGAAGTTTAAAAATTTTAGACACATGAATGGTAACAGATAGTAACATGTCATTTTGTCTTTTGGATAAAAACATTTAGCTATTTCGAAAGTGCCTGATGATATATCAAACGGCTAACCTGGTACAGTGTTACATCAATTTTCTTTCCATTTTTCCCCCACTGTGGAATAACACCAAGCTTCACACCTAGAACACCAGTTCTTCGTGTGCTGAAAAAAAAACAACACAATTGAAATGAACTGGTTTTCTGTTGATGATTTTGATTGATTCTGCAATGATTCAGATTAAGTGTTTTAATGTAACTATTAAACTGACTGGCTTCCAAAGCAGGCCAATATAACATTAGCTATTTTCAGTTGGGATCAGTATTATCTTGTTTTGTTTTGGGTTTTTTCAGTAAGTGAATAAATAGATACTCCACCCACTTCCCATATATAATGAATAGAACTATATGTAACCTGGTGATGTTTAGTATTTAAATCAGATGGATTTACATCCTCGTCATCAACTTTCTCATTGCCTTTGTGAATTCCATTTAAGCATTCTTATTCTTTCTGCCTTTATCCTTCTCTTCTTCTGATCCTTTGTCATTTAGCTATTTGGTAATGTTACACAGTAAAGTCAGTTTTCATTTACAGTTATGTGTTTGTCCATTAATGTCCAATGTTATTAAAAAAGAAAAAAAATTACCTAATCTCTATGTTGTTTGATGTCAATTAAATGTATTTATTTAAAATAAACCTTTGATTACTTCTACAGTATTTAGTAGAAATTGTGACAAATGTCTTTGTTCTGTAAAAAGCCCATTAGAATGTTGAATTAGTCACACATTGAAAAACTTAAATACTTATGCATGAAAGAGAAGCTTTCCATTTTCTCTTTCCAAATTTTAATAACATATCCTACATTTTTTCTTTCTTCATGTATAACAGTCTTTAACTTTCTCTCTTGCCACTTTGCAAGAACTGGATGTTTATGATACAGACAAAGACAAAGGTGTTGGTTAAGGAGTTACGGGGAAAAAAATGTTTGAAATATTTACCGTTTGATCCAGTGACCTTGAAACTACAATATTCACATGACCTTGAAACTACAATATTCACATGCCCTTGAAACTACAATATTCACATGACCCTGAAACTGCAATATTCACATGACCTTGAAACTGCAATATTCACATGACCTTGAAACTACAATATTCACATCTTTCTCTAACACTGTTGTTTATGGCCTATAAAAAAGTTGAAGATTAACGAGAAAAGATTTGATGACCTTTTACCAAGTGATGTTACAACTTGGTGAACATCATTTCCTAAAACTTCCAAATGCATATATATGCCTCTATAGATTTCAAATCAAATGGAATTTTTTTACCAGTGAATCAACAATATTTCATCTTTATGATATAATGAATATTTTATGCCTATTCCAAATATTCAGTTATATGTACATAATTTCAAGTAATGTAATTTTATCCCTTTAACTCTCACAATTTTGTTTGGTTTTATTTATGTGTAAACACTTTATTTTGTGTATCATTTGCAACATATCCAGCATTCACATCTGCCATATCTTAAATCTTTTCTGATGTTTATGTCCTCAGTACTTACAGTACTTTGATTAAGTAAAAGTTCCCTTAAGTTGTCCTATCAAATGATCCTATTATAATGGTAAATAGTGAGTAAATATTCTCTTACAGTTTGTCCCATTCTCCTCTAGGCCAGAGGTCTTCCTTTAAAGGACTTGGGACTTCCTTGAATTTGTTTTCTGCTAGTTCCTTTAGGAATTGTTGGTTCTCCCATGTCAGCTGTTCTGTTGATACATTGGTTTTCTTCTTGACATGCCAACCTGGTGGGGCACATGTACGTCTTCTCTCTCGAACCTGTAGATGGCAGGTCAGTATCCTGTTCAAGACAAACCATATTGAATATTTATGGTTTATCTAGTGTTGTCTATGGTTATAATGTTGATCTTCTTTCGACAGTGAAGTGAACAGTATTTAATCTAATAGGATTACATATAAGCAATTAGTTAGAAAAACAATCCCATCAAATTAATTAATGACCATATAAAAAAATTAACCTCTACTGACTATTGCCTTCCCAAGAGAATTAGTCAGCTCCTAAAAAACAAAAGTTCCTTGTAGACAATATCAGACTTTTGTGTCATTACATCAAAATTTCCTTCTTTGTCTAAATGCACAAATTCTATGTACAAAAGTTCTAGAATTTACTGTCAGATGTCAGTAATGACAGGTGGCAATCAAATGACCATGAATGAAAATAAGGAGTTGCAATTACAAGAGATTTAATGACTACAGTTTGTGGTACGGATGGAAGAACTAAACATTCTAGACACTCTAACTTTATTGAAAAACAGAAAAAATTATCCACATTTTAAAATGTATATTAAGAAAACATACACAGACTGAATCTGTCAATGGAATATTAACACATAATATCTTAAAGTTAATGGTTTTTAATCACTTTTTTCATTCTTTCTGGAAGTGTGACATGTCACAGCAACCATGTTATCCTGGTGCAATTTCATGCATTTGATATGGATAGACAATATGGCCGTTCATAGCGGTGCGAAACCGATGTCCATATGATACATAATGTTTCCAAGTAGCCTATACTTTTTGAAAGTTTCAGTGAAAACTGTATTTACCTTGGTATAAATCAATGCAACTTTTATATATGGAAACCCCAAATTGGCGTGTAATAGGTTAGTTTGGTTTGATAAAAAAAACCCTAACATTCTAGTTTACAATTAGGCTCTATAATAGGTTTCTTATTTTGGGGGCTTATCATTATATAAATATAATATAAACTTACAACAATTGCGAAACAAGTTATGTCAACTTATACTAATCACTCTTGTTGGCCCGGATGTATAAAACCCATACGCAAATTTACCTTATCACGTCCGTTCCGGGAATCGAACCCGGGTCGGCTAGGTGAAAGGCGAGTGTGTTACCACTGCGCTTATCATTGATAGAAGTTTATTAAATTACTGAATATTTCGTTAAACATTTTTCATAAAAGGCAAGTATTGTTTAAAAAAAATCCTTATTTTTATGAATTCGACAACATAACACGACAGTCAAGAACGCAACGAAATAGTGAAGGGTCCGAAACCAATGCCATGAGGATAACTCAAGGACATTTGTCAGTCCAAGATCACCCATTTACATTATCGTAATCCCCAAATATACAAACTGATAATGCGCACGGTTATATTGATACAGTACCTAGATGTTGTCAGTGCATCTTTAAACAAAATGCATTGAAAAATACAATTAGACGCAGTAGCGAGTACATGTCCACCTTTTACCATGGAGGCCGCCATTGCCATTTACCGCTTACATACAACAAAATCAACTTCAACTATCCTTAAACAATCAATTACATCTAGATTGTAGCTTTGTATTTTTGTCATCTTTTATTTATAAAATTGTTATTTTCGTGCTTGTATATGTCTATTTGGTTTTACAAAATGTCCATTTAAAGATATTTTTCTACTACTTAAGCGACGTACAGCATGGGCGAAAAGTTTACAGGGTGTAACGTTAAGAAATGAGCCAGAGACAATTCTCACGTTTGAAGGAAGAGCAAGAGAAAGCAATACAAGAAACAAACATCAAATTAGAAAAATGGTGATGTATTGCACATTGCTTCATTTTATATCGAATGACAAAGATTGCAAATGTCAAAGAACTTAAACCTTGGAATACCACCGCAGAGCATTCATATTTAGTCAATAACATTATACATTGTACTAGTAAACAGTTGGTACGGGACATAAAGCGAATGCAACCTTTTCAGACAAACACATAGGTACACAACCATACTACATACACATATCTAGTTTCTCTTAACTAAGCTACCCTATTTAATTTTCCATTGTTGAATATTGGAGTAACAACAAATCTGGCTAAATTATCAGATATTAGATACATTACCTAGTCAAATCTGACTATTGGTTATGTATGTTGTAAATAATCAAATCTGAACTCTTGGTTATGTATGTTGTAAATAGTCAAATCTGAACTCTTGGCACCATATATTGTATATAGTCAAATATGACTATTGGCTACATAAACGGAATCAAGTCATATCTAACAATATATAAATTGTCAACGTGTATAATTTGTTGTAGTGCACAGTATCCTGTCCGCCATGTGTGAATTTTCATACATAAAACTTCTCAAGTTATACATGTGGCATTCAGCTTAAACTTTTCTGAAATTTACTGAGTCAAAAATGGCAGAATTTAAAATGCGTACATTATTTTTCAGGGAGCAGTTCAAGTCAGATTATGTTGCTTTAAAAAGTAGACTTAAAACCCTTCCTGACAAGGTCTCTCATGATGTAATGGTAAGTACACTTAAAATTCCTCCTGAAAAAGTCCATCCTCTGTACTCCAGGAGTTACGATCACTTTCGCTCTAAGTATCTGTTGAACACTTCACTGAAACTGAAGCTTAATTGAAGTGATTTGATCGGTCCCTGGGGAAACAAACTGACCAATCACACATTGTATACTCCTATTGAAGATTACCAAATAGCAACACCCAACTTCAACGCCATTACAATAAAAAGTTATGCAACCTAAAGATTGGTTTGATGTACATCAAAGGATCAAATTAGTCTTTTTGTCTTGTGCACAAGGTGTCACACATTGCCATGACATGTTCTAGGGATACAGAGAGCAAAAGTGATGGTAACCCCTGGAGTAGTATGATGGAGAAATTCTCACATGAAGTATAGTAAGTAGACTTAAAAACCCTTCCTGACAAGGTTTTGCATAATGTAATAATCAGTAGACTTAAAACACTTCTTGACAAAGTCTCACATGAAGTATGGTAAGTTGATATAAAATTCTCACTGACAAGATCTCGCATGAAAAATGCTAAGGAGACAAGGAAAAAGGTTATAATACAAGATCTTGTTATTGAAACACTATTGCTTGCTTTCATGTTGAGTGCTGGAGATGAAAATTGAAAGTGATGCTGTCATAATATGTTACCAATGACTTTCTGACATGCAGTGCTATGAAGAAAATAGAAATGATGACTAAAGGTTACCCAGTATCATATTGATCTTTTGAAGAACTTAACTAAAGGGTAAATTTAAACCAAAAAAAAACAGACAAACAAACAAGAGAAACAGAAAAAGACAAAACATTGTTTTCTACAAGTAATCTTGTCTTATGTTCCAGGTCAGAGGAGTCAAATTTCATTTGTACTGATTTATCTTAAAAAATACTGCCTATAAAAGTGAAAATTATTGTACTGTTCAATGACCCTTTCAGGTTCCATTTGGTTCGTTGGCGTTCATGCCAGGAAAATTGGTACACACAAATGAAGTTTTGGTATTGCTGGGAGATAATTGGTTTGTGGAGCGTTCTGCTAAGCAGGCAGCTGCCATTGTAGACCGTCGTTTGAAAGGTAGTTATATGTATGTCTGAAAAAAAAACTGATATGACAATGTATTATACTAATAAATGTACTCAGTAATAACACGTACTTAATAACAACACGCTCAGTGTTTTCCACTGAAGTTTTAGCTCATCTGGCATGAAGGGCAAAGGGTAAGAAGCTAAAATTTGTTGTAGTAATTGGTTAAAATTGATTGTATGTCCCCATTGTTAATGCCACTGGTGCACCTGCTAATATATTTGTAATGAAAATTGAATATCAGCTGATCCATGTAGACCCATTTAGCTTCTTATTCAGATGTGTTGTGATAAACATTTTCCTCTGTTGGATCACAGTGTATTTAAGAATACCACATCACAATTTTATATTCTTTGCGTGTATGTAGGAAGTATCCTGGAAATAAAATTACAGTTAAATCTAGAAATTGTTAACAAACAATTTGATGAGCTTTTCACCTTTATTGAAATTAGTACCAAGAGGTCAGCCATTTCCATAAACTTGATGCACAATCATTTGGGCACTTTATCAATTACATATCAAGACTCTAGACCTTTGCGTGTGTTACCCAAAGAAACACTTTCTAAATTTGACCTCTGTCTGAATGATGACCTTTGACACTTCATTTATTATTTCAATCAACAATCACTGATTCTTATATGCTATAACACATATCATTGTCCTGTGCCTCTTTGTTTTTATTGAGAAGTCATTGAAATAAGACATTAAACCCATTTGACCTTAAAAGTGGGTCAAGGTCATTTCTTTTCACAACTTTGATAGCCAATCATTTAGACATCTTACATATCAATTATCAAGATGCTAGACCTCAAAGAATTTGAAAAAATGATTTTTAAAGATTTTTATACAAAAAAGCACTTTGAACTTTGACCTCTACTGCAAACTGAAAGTTGTCTCTTCACACAATATTTTTTGACTACTTTTGATAGCAACTGTAAGCAGAACAGTATACCATTGACCAAATAACATTGTCACAAGTCTCTTGGTTATTATGGAGAAGTCATTAAAAAATTTTAAGACATTTGATCCCTATGACCTTGAAGGTGTGACAAAGGTCATTCATTTTCATAACTTTGATAGCAATCACCTAGGCACCTTACATATGAAATTTAAAGACACTAGACTTAATAGAACTTTAAAAGAAGATTTTTAAAGATAATGCTTTTGAAATTTGATCCCTACCAAAAATTGAAAGTTGACATTTCATACAATAATTACATAAAAGAATTGATAGCACATTGTTCACAATATGCTACTGATCAAATATCACTGCTCGTGGTCTCTTGAACCACTTTTAAAGAACTTCATTTGACCTACTTTTGTAAAAACATATAAGTGACAAAATGTAAGCCACTTAGGTTACCAACAAATAAATGTAATTGCATAATACCTGTATAATCAATGGTTTTGGAGTTATAGCCTTGTTGTGATTTTGACCTTTGACATCATGGTGGCCATATTGGTTTTTTAACCTTCTTGAAAATATTTCAGGAACACATTCAATCCATATTTTTTTTTTATCATATTATACTTTGCAGGCTGTGAATAACAAATAACATTAGGTCACCATGAAAAGCCCTAATAATCTTGATGTGTTTAGTCAGATATATACAATGTTGTTTTGTTTGCTAGGTTTATTGCCCTATGAAATTTGTGTTACATTTAAACTTATTAGATTTATTTTATTGTATAGGGCTTTTACAACATGTTGATGTTTTATTTTACAGATGTTGAGTCTCAGTTAGATGGATTGAAGCAACAGAGAAAGATTTTGTCACCAAGACTGGAATTTACTACAGATCTTACAAAGTCTGTCGAGGTAACACTTTTATTGACAAAAAAAAAGTTACAAATATCTTAGAAAGTTTATTAGTGAAATTACAAATTGTTCAGACATAAATAAATTTGTTATTAGAGGTGTGAAGAAGAACACCCATTGTATCAAGATCACTCCTTTAAGACTGACTTATCTTACGGCCAACAATACCGCACTCAATACTTCAGGGCTCGGCTTACATGGTAAACAGTTAAATGTGGTTAGGAGTGACAGTGGAGGTCATGGTCACATGTAACTGTTTATCATGTAAACTTTGCCCTGATGTCAGCCTAGTTAAGGCTGAAACAGGGCGGCAACCAGCTCTAGAAGATAGAATAAACCTTGATATGGAATGGATTTGTCTTCACTCTTATACCATTACTTTAGTCCTAGATTGTTGGAGAAATCATCCACCAAGTGAGTAACCAAATATTCAGTCAAGTAGGTGGTATGTTAAATGATTGTGTAAAATGATATGTCTTACCATTGTGATTATAGAATTTCCATGTTGTCATGTCATCAGGAACAAGGCGTTGTAGATATTACAGAGGAGTATGACGAGGAGAAGGAGAGTCTCTGGAGAGGTGAGTCTTCCACATGCATCACACAGCTAGTAATTCATTTGTCTTATATTTCAAAAGAAAGTGATCAGGGATTCATATTTCAAAAGAAAGTGATCAGGTATTCAAAATAAATGGTATGTTCCATAGCATTAAACATTAACTTTGTGGAGCTATTATTGTCCTGTATGTGACTGTACTCTATACACAGTTTACTACTCTGTCTACTTGATAATACTTTGACTGCAATAAGTTTTCAGGAGTACATGGTATCTACCTCCTAGTAATGTTGATATTAAGTAGTGTTTAAAGTTCTTGATTTTGGTAAATTCCATTTATAGAACAACATAGGAAAAGGGTTCAGGACCTGAAGAAAAAGAAACAAGGACCCAGAAAGAGCAGTGGATTCCAAGACAGGTCAGAAGGTCAGGAAAAGCCAATGACTGATGAGCAGCTCTGGGAGAGGCTGGACGAACTTGAGCGGATAGAAGCAGAAGGAAATGAGTTACAAATGTAATGTTTATTTATCTAGTGTCAACTGATAAAACCCTAGTTTATGTGGTGACTGATATGATCCTGCTTGAAATCACCCTATATCTGTAAGTCTGTTATCCAGCTGTAAACAATTCCTGTTATCACTATTTCTTGAGATGTACTGGATGGATCTTCCTGAAATTTCATGTCGGTACCTCTTTGTCCCTAGTTGTGTCCATTTAATTTTGAAACTGATCAGAAAAAGATAATGACTGACAGATAGTCATTTTGAATTTTGATAATGAAAGTTACTATTACTATTTCTTAAAACTTTCTAGCTGGATACTTCTCAGATTTCAGTGTCCCTGGTTATGCTCATTTGATTTTGAGACTGATCATAAAAACAAAATTGTAGACAGACAGTCAGCTTGGATTTTGACAATGAAAATTTGTTATGGCTATTTTTTGAGAAATGCAAGATGGATCTTTCTCAAATTTCATATGTAAGTTTCCTTGGGTTCCGAGTTGTGCCCATCTGATTTTGAGATTTACCAGAAAAACAAAATGGCCTACAGACAGCCATCTTGTTTTTGACAATGAAAGTTTGTTATCACCATTTCTTGAGAAATACTTGATTGATCTTTTTTCAAATTTTGTATATAGGTCCCCATGGTCAGTAGTTGTGTCTTTCTGACTTTGGGACTGATCAGAAAACTAAAATGTGGGATTTGGCAGTTCAACATTCTCATCTGTATTTCTTAGAAGGAATATTCAAATTTCACAGAGGAGAGAAAAGAAGGGAAAAGTCTTAAAATAGATAAAGATCAGATGATGGTTAGGGCCAAGATCCCTCTTGGATCTCTTGACTAGTAACTGATTTAAGCCTACATAACCCCAGGTGAAGATCTGAGGTGTGTGGTTCAATGCTCCGTACCTATAGCTGTTTGTGTTTCATCGGAAACAAACCAGTTTGTGATGTCATGGTTGTTTCTTTGTGCCATCAGTTTCTGCACGGAGACATTACCTAAAGCGCCTTGGCTTTTCACAGAATGGTATAATAAACAAACTTTGTGAAAAAAGAGTACAGTGTATTTGATAATAAGAATAATCATGAAAAAGGGAACACAGAACATGTGATTAAAACATTGGACCTTCAAACATGTTTTACCAATGTTGTTCTACTGATATCTCAATTGAATGATAAATGACAGATTTTGGACTGTGTGTCTTAATCTTTGTCAATAAGTTTGTTTACTTGGTTTGTTGCCCAATGAATCAGGGTCACTTGGTGACAGGATCTCCTTATAGTAACTGGTAGCTACCTCACAAGATATTAGGCAGACTCGCTGCACGCTCTCCAGGGCAACTACGGTGAAGTATCTTGCCCATGGATACAAACAGGAGAACATATGACATTCTGTGATGTATCCTTAGAAATATGAAGTGCATGATTTAATCATGGAACCACACACCTGTGATCTTCACCTGCTTTACCTACTAAAATAGCTGGTGTGAATTAGAAGTGAGTTGTAGTTGTTAGAAGCACTGACTGATATGTTCAACAGTAGAAGATACATCTTATCAATCCAGGGTTTATCTATCTTAGGCTGGACATGGAGGATGAGATCAAACTCTCTCTACCCCCACAAAGTGATGATGATGAGGAGGAGGAGGATGAAGAAGAGGATGAGAGTTCCTTATCCACCTCAGATGACAGTGAACATGAGGGATCCTCACGGATAACTTTCACACACACCAAGGTCAATTCAATATTACTGAAGGAGCTGTTTAATCAGTTATTTTTTTGACTGAAACACTGAAATATTTCTTACAGTTGTTCTTTTTACATGGCCGTCAAAAAGTTTGATAGGACATATTATGGTATGGCATGCATCGATTTGTCGTAAAAATTCATTTGTCTGGAGATCCCCCAAAGTTTTCAACCAGTCTTTTTTCTAACTTTCATGACATAAAGTTTTATTTGCTTGAACAACAGTTTGATTTGACTGGAAAATATACTGCTTTTTTTTGTAATATTGATTTTTTATGTAGATCTCCTTTCTGTTTTCCACCAGTTTCAAACTTTAAAGGCTTAATCATCACGACATGAAATTGTATTTTCCTGAACAGCAGTATGATTTGACTGTATTTGGAAGAGTTACTGACCCTTGCTGTTTTCATAATCATGATCTTGTCCCGATCTCCTCTCTAAGATATTACCAATTTCTTTCAACTTTTGTAGGCTTAATTAGCATGATATGAATTGTGTTTTCCTAGTTATTTAATAAATGCATGTCTGAAATCAGATTCTGTGTTTAGACCCATCGCTAAAGAGTTTTGTCCCTGTTGTAATTTTAACTGTTATAAAATTTAAACCCTGTACTGAGAGATGTATCCCTGTTGTAATTTTAACAACCATATTGTGTACACTTGTTACTGAACAATTATGTCCTTCTTTTAAACATAAAGAGTTATGTCCCTTTTGTAATTTTAACCACTATATTAACCCCTTTTACTTAAGAGTTACCTCCCTGTTGTATCTTGACTGAGGTGTTCTAAAAGATTTTTAAGTGTCTTCATATTTGATGTAGTTATCTTATCTGCTAAAATCTATTTCCGTATGAAGTTGATGACAGTTACTGATATAAAACATCAAATATAATGTTTTAGCCATTATGAAAGGAAACTGCAGTAATGTATTTAGTCCTATTTCTGATTTCCTTACTAGTTTTATCAGATTATCTTGTCTTTGCAGGACTCATCTCAGTGCATCAGAATTAGTTCCTGAGATGTATTGATGTAGGTAATATTTGTGTTTGGCTGCAGTCACTTCACTGAATACTATTGATATTCTTTTGGCATTCAGGTGGATGAATCAGAAGAAAAGGAAAACTCTGATAAAATTGAAAGTCCAAGAGACATTTACAGACAGTTCTGTGAAACAAAACCAAAATCTATAATGAAACCCAATACAAAAGATGAGCAACAGAAAGTACGATTGAAGAAAAAGGTAAAAATGAAGGAAGATGTCACTCCAGAGGAGAGCAGACAAAAGCGAGGAATAGCTCAAGGTCCAGTGGTGAGTATATTAAGGCAAGGTCCTCTGGCGGGTATATAGAGGTCAAGGTCTTCTGGTGAGTATATATGTATAAAGAGAGAGAGCACAAAGTCCTTTGGTGCGTATATAGAGGTCAAGGTCTTATGGTGAGTATATATATATAAAGAGAGAGAGCACAAAGTCCTTCGGTGCGTATATAGAGGTCAAGGTTCTATGGTGGGTATACAGAGGTCAAGGTCCTTTGGTGAGTACATAGAGGTCAAGGTCCTATGGTGAGTATATATAAAGGGAGAGAGAGCACAAGGTCCTTTGGTGAATATATATAGAGGTCAAGGTCCTATGGTGTGTATATAGAGGTCAAGGTCCTATAGAGAGTATACATATATAAAGAGAGAGAGAACA